GCGAGCGAGATAACATAGGCGCAGCAATGACGCAACCTAGGAGTAGGACTATCTATACTGACACTTGTAGAATCCAAGCTGACTGACACTTGTAGAGAATTTACTGTATTATTTTCAACAGGACAACGATCCTAAGTGCACATCGTATGTACTGCAAGAATGGCTATTATATCATATGCCTAAATTATTAACCCTCCGTAGGCAAACATATTTTTCCACACCTCGTTTCTGTCGTTTCTGTCCAACTCTAACTTTTTTACTGTTTTAACTTTTCAAAAAAAGTGAAAAAATTTTGGAGTATTTACCAAAGTCTCTCTACTACGTTGTACAATTGTTTGTTAAGTGAAATGTTTCAAACTTTTTTCAATAAAAATAAAAATTCGTTTCGAAATGTTAGAAACAAACCCTAACAGATTATAGAATGATCGATGCGCTCCCGTAGTGGCGTGAACTGTAATAGGGTGTTGTCTTTCGTTGCTCTGTTGTCTTCTGGTCTTCTCTTCCGGTCCTTCATCGCGTACTCGCGGTGTGCTCCGTGGATTCGTTCCTCTTATTAAATTATAGCGAACACGAAAAAATACGAGAGCGAAATTTCACGTGGATCATCAAAGACCCAGATTGCCTGCGGAGGGTTGATAACCCCTCCCCAGTCATCCGATCGAACATATCTAGGGAGGGTTAACATCGAAAATGTTGAAGCATAATTTAGCAAGCGTGGAAAATTTTCAAATAAAATTACGCGAAGAATTTAACAATAGTTCGTTTTTCTTTATACAAAAATTGATCGAATCCATGCCGCGACGTTTACAAGCTATCATTGATGCAAAAGGCTTTGCAATAAATCATACATGATAATCCTCTAAATATTGACGTGTACTCTCAATTTTGTTTCATTAAAACATCTACACTTTTACATTTTCAGTTAAGTATGAACAAATACAATTTCATGTTACTTTTCAATCTTTTTACCAATTGTCCGTGACAGTATGCGGATATAATATACAGGGTGTTCAAAAAGGTCAGGGCCAAACTGATACTACGTGTTAAGTTCGTATAAACTTATATCCGAAAATGCTTTATTGAAAAGTTACAAGCGTTCGAAGATTTTTATCGATTGTTATGGCAGTTATAATAAGTGTTCGGAATTTCTTCCTTCTGCAAGAACGCAGGTTTCCATTCGTCGATGGATCTAAGATCTAACGCCTTTTGGCCTCTACTTATGGTAGAAACAGAAGACCAGCTTTGGAAATGTATTCAAAATGCATTGACCACTGTTTACAATTACAGTAGCAACATTCGAAAGACTTCGACAATCGTTAGTTCGAACTGTATTTATTAACCTTTTCGGTACGGTAGAGTCAGCGCGCGGAACAGTCCCTATCGGCGGACATGTTGGACCGCCAATATGTTCGCTGCGGCCGGTAGAGTTAGATGAAATAACGCCTACGCGATGTAAATTAGGATGGTTAATAGAGTTAATCTCTAGCTGCAGCAAAGGCATTTCAGACGGCGTCTAAAAATATTTTTCGGACGGCGTCTATTGTCGCTCTTCAGTCGGAGCGCAGGTTTTTGCACGGCTCCTATGGACGCCGTCCGTCGGTCTTGAGTAGTTGTCCGCTGTTCTAACGACGTACACAATCTAATGCCGGGTCCACACTGATGTTCGCGAGCAGTTCACGAACAGGTCATGAACCACGTTTACTGGCTGTGTAGACACTTTTTTGTGAGCAGTGAATTCATTAGAGAGCTCCAGTGCAGACACGATGCTGCTTCTGTTCGCGAACAGTTCTGGCCAGTGTGGACTCGGCATAAGAAAATGTGCAAAATATTTGTATGATAGTTCAGACTGTGGAAAATAAAATTATTGCAATATTACGGTACGATAAACTTCAGAGTGCGTTACATATGAGTTTTATCTACGAAAAATTCAATTTATCAAATATGAGCAACGTTTATTTCCTTAACACGTTAAACGCCACGTCGGTCTCTAGGGACTTTTCGTTTGCGCTGCGCTGGTTATGTGGACCGGCGGTGATTTTTGCTTGAAACTAGGCTGCCGCGCCTCAACTAAAGGTATTAACTATGGTATCAAACGGAAAATATAATATTTTATTAAAAACTAATGTAATTTATTAAAACAATTTAAACAAAGATGCGGGTTTCCTTTCCGCATGGTACAGTAAGTTACCACTCTTTTTGTTAAGTTTTCTGCCGATTTTCTGTGAAATTAACATCGCTTTCTATATCTGGCAGCATTGTAAATTGTGTGGGCAAAGAAATTTTGAAAATCTTTGGTATGGTCTGCTTAGAAAAGGAAACTGTACCATAGACCGGCGTAGCGTAAACGGAAAGTCTCGTGCCGATCCCTACGGGCCAGCCTGGGCGCTTAACGTGTCAACTATCAAGCGGCCTTAAGTAGCTTGCCGCCATTGTGCAACAGTTTCCTTTCTTCACCTTTCGTAGTTTTCTCTAATCTGTAATGTAAACATTTAGAATTGTAGTAAATTAAAATAGTAGACGGCACTTTGGATATTAGTTTTCTATTGGAATGATAATTTTGTCCTGATACAGTTTTCCGTAACAGTGTGAGAATAAAGTAACTCGTGAAAGCATTAAATAGCTGTAAGGATATTCGAGGTGGAAAATCACGTTCAATTCTAACGATCGTGTTGCTTGTTAAAATTAACCTTTTGACCGGCGAAATCGAGTTAATGACTCGACTTTTCCAAGTACGTTGATTGTTTAATTGAGCCATTCGAAAGTCAAAATGATTAACTCCACTTTTTGAAATTCTTCCAATTTTAGTATCTTGGTGCTTAACTTTGTACAAATAAAAAAAAAATTTGATAAATTTCATTTAACGGAGTTAGCCACTTTGACTTCTGAGTGGCTCAATTGTCGATTCATCTCTCTGCATTCACCATATTCGTGACGTTTCTGTTCGAAATCATATTGAAACATTTTCGCATTCTTTTATGGATAAAATGTGTTAATTCGTTTATTGTCATATTATGATACTTAACCAAATGAGTGCCTCTAGTGGAAAAATGTGCTGGTTAATAGGTTAATCTGGTGTTATGTCGCTTTACTATTTTCGTATACTCTTTTATTTGTGTATTTTGTTTCAAATAACTCGGCTACAATTGTGTCTCTTGCCAAAGTTTCACGTCTTGCTTTAAAAACAGTTTATGTTGCTTTTGTATTTGATTTAACGAGTCTTCATTTTGCCGTTAGGAAAATAATTTTGAATAATGCCAAGATGAGAATTTTCCTTTGAAATATTTTCCACGTGTAATTACATTATTTAAGGGGTTAACATTATGAGAGAAGAAAGTAGAGGATTGCGTACTAAAGTAGTGGCCGCACGAAACAATGAACAAGGGAAGTTTGCGAAAGGAAGAGCTTATCCTTGAAAATAAAAACAAATGCTGGGAATTGCAGACGTTTTATTAGCAGTAATGACAGAGTTTCGTCACACGTTCTTTTAACATAATTCTAAGAAATTAGGGCTCGTCGCATTAAACTTCTCTGCTCATATGGTACTCTGCTTGTCATTTTTCCTGCCGTGTATGCGTTTTATTTTCAGTTTTTATCCGTAAAGGAAATTGTCTTGTCATTTCAGCTCGCAAGAAAAGTAGATGCGTTGTGGTCACACCCTATTTCACCATGTGAAATTCGTTACGAAACACCCTCTCTTGCTTCTTTCCCCGTCCGCATTGCAAAATTCCGCATAAATTTTCAATTTTTGGTTTATAACAATCCCCGAGCATTCGAACACAGTGGTTACACGTCTAGTCTTATTTCAGTTCGTTTTTGTCCGGCAGAAATAAAACAAACACGGGTTACAGTTAAATGTACGACAGTAAAGGAAAACAAGCTTGTTCGTTAATTTCATAATTGTCCTAGTAAGTACACTCGTTACACTCGCGCAATTTTCAAAAAAATTTGCCGAACGCGTGTAATCAAAATTGGCACCGTAAAATCTGAGTCTTCATCTTTTTAGAGATAAAATCGTGGGACACTGTACATTTCCGAGAAAATCGATATAAAAAATTAAGAAACGAAAAAAAAAAAGAAAAAAAGAAAACAAAAACATACCAATAACGAAAAAATTGAAAGAACGTCAATTCAGCGATAGTATTTTGTGTTCTAGCGCGCTAATAAAGCGAGTGAAGCAATTGCAAAGCCCCGATGAGGACTCCGCGGGTGGGGACTACTACCAGCTGACATATCCTAACTAGCGACCACAACCCGCCAGCCCTTCTCTGTCGACTAGCGAAACCACACTAATCGCAGCGACTAAGTCGGCATAGCGTTGAGATCACGGACGTACACTTAGGCAGGGACAGAAATCAGGCATACGAGATGAGATTTTTTGACAGAGGAGATACATAAAGTGAAACAAATACAAACAAAGCAAAAAAGAAAAGAAACGAAGAAAGAATGTTAATGAATGCATGCATGAAAAATTACATTTTGATTAACGAAACGTCTGGGCAAAGTCTTTTTCCAATAAGCAGACATATTTACTTAAAATACAGTATATAATCATTGGATAGCAAAACGCTAGCACAAGCAAATGACTATAAATGATGATGATGATGATGATGATGATGATGATCATGATGATAAATGCGACGATGACAAGTAGCATGAACGATAGAGATTATTTTTCCAATTTCATACGAGTCTCCGTCACGTCCGATAACTTTCGTCCTTGTCAAAAGTTCCAAATTCGAACCATTTTCGGCTCGATTGTTCTTTTTTCAGTGTTTTTTCTAGTCTCCTAGCGGATCTAATTAATCGTCGCTTAATCGATAAATGTATACACAGAAAGTACGTAGTTACGTGGTTAGTATTCGTACTCGATTTCCAGTGTTATTTATTAGTTATACGAGTATATGAATTATCGCGCGCTACAAATAAGTGTAGCGATAATCCTTGGAAAAGTATTTAGAAAGCGCAGCACCACGAAAGATTTTCTTCATCGGAATAATAGATCGACACCAACCTGACGAAACAATTATTTAGATTTTCAATTCTACTCGTTTTTATTTTCTGTCTGTTCTCCTTATAAATAACATATTCTTCCAGTTAAAAACACAGCATGTTGTAAAGAATATTGTCGCACGATTGCTTCTTTTCATTTGCTTCGTTTCACTGTGGTTACATTCTCTTTATTTGCCCTAAAACTGTTACCACATGAATCACGTCCATGATAGATATAGGTGCATATACGAGGTAATGCGTAAGGTTAGTTCTTTTTTTTATCTTAATTATGCGTTAACGTTACCGTAGACCTTCTGTAAGGATCATTTCGATAATAGGTTGTTGTTAATATCATTGTGATCGAATGTAATTATTTGATATATCAATTTCATAGATTCGCCCACGGGCGAACAATTTTCGATTCCTATTCTTCTGCATTATAGATATTTTCTTTATCTATCACATAGTTTTACTTCTGTAGATGTACATAAATAGTATTCTATGTATATGTAAAAGTTGAAATATTCCCGAAGCGCAATACGATTATTCTCGATTCTTCCTTATCGAACGTAATTTGCAATAACAGAAATTAGTCTTCTTAGTACAAAATATATATACACACATGTTAGTATATATCCCCTCTGCGTACATTTTCGACACATTCGGGGGATCGCTGAACAAGTCCGAACTGTAAAAATATCGTTTTACAGCCAGCTAGAACTTGTGAACGTCGCTCCAATGTCACTTCCCTTAGAAGTATCGAAATGCTTCCAGTAGACTAACATTACACGGTAAAACCCTTGAAGAGTTGATGTCCATGGCCTCCGGACGAGTTTGTAATTACTGTAGTTAACCAACTCGAAAATTTGTGCCTCGTAAATTGATATCCTGTCGCGTTTGGAAGGACTCTACGTAAACTAGTTTCTTGTCAGGGCTGTACGTGTCTATTAGCCTCGCAGTTTCAGCGAAGGTGAAAGTCTCCATATCCTCTCGTTCATTTTACTGTCATTCTCCGATACCCGATCAAGCAAGTGCTTTAACTGAAATTTGAATTTCACACGAAGCTTCGTTTGCCCGCCGTAAGTATAATTTGATCCATCAACTTCGTTAAGATTGAAAGTATCTCGAGTATGATCTGCTTTGATTACTAATCGTTGGTGTCACGCAGAAGGTGAGAAGTATAACGTAACATCGTCGAATCTTTAGTTTACTGAAAGCATTTTATCGGCGTAGTTGAAGTTTCTTCGATCGTTGCAAAGTTGAATGACCTTTAAATTGATTATGCTCAAAACTAGTCCCCCGGTGTTTAGCATATTCTTAAGTAGAATCTCGAATGGGTGTCTTTATTAATTAACACGGCACGCTGCGAATTTGAATCGTTGAATAAGAACCTAGGCCGTTTTCGCGTACTGTTAGTCTCTTTACCGGAGGAGAGTGTCTCCTCGAAGTGAAGTTTCTCTCGATCCCTTAGTTTCCCCAATATTTTTAATACGTACTCGATCGCAAAACAGGTAGGCCCGGATCGGTCTTGTTTCCTTGTTAGAGTACTCGTATTACGGTAAGTTAGGTATAATACGTTCAGAGTGGTCTGAAGGTTATCCGATACATTCTAGGATTCTGAATACTCCTGAAGGGGGATTTCCTATGGCTGTCATTTCACTTGCACAGTACGGTGAACTTTAGCATGTGAATTTACCTTCAGCTTTCACTTAGTGTACCTTGAGGGGATAAGTATTAATGTATGCTCAAGTATTTACCGCTAGTTTACGCTGTAATTAATTTAACACGTTCCATAAAGTCGCAAGAGATGCATTTAAACATTGCTAAAGACTTCGTAGTATTATCCATAATACGTATAGTTTTCTATCAGTATCCGTAGAGAGAAAAATAATATCTGGAGTACATTTCAATATACATAACCGTATAACAGGGATGAAACATTCCCAAGTCCATGGACCTAATGCATGTTACCATTTACAGTCCAGAGCTCAGGAGTTTGCCCCTGGAAGGAATGCGGGTCTGATTGGGTCGTATCCCCGTAAGCCCATCTTCTCTAACACAATCGTAGGTAAATACGGCACACGTATTGTCATCATTGACCGGAACGCGATAACATCGACGAATCGAAGATTCGAAATCTGCAAGCGAAATGCCCTTCTTGCCCCTGTGCCGCCCTGGGGGCAAACTACTGAGCTTCGCACAGTACTACACTACTCATTCGTAAGATTTTAAAGGGATGCGCTGTTAAGTGCCTCAAGCTTCTATCGAACAAACTCCCGTGAACAATAACAGAGTAATTGCTGGTGTCGTGCAATTCGTGAATCATACATGCTGTCCGGACCCTTCCGGTGCGCACCACCCCCTAATCCCCACGTGGGGAGTTTAAGTAGGGTTGCGTTACAGAGAAAAATAAAAGAATGTATAGTGAAGCAACATTGACAGAGAAGCTTGACATTCTGTGGAGTAAGGTTTTGTGCCTGTGGCGTTGTTACAGACAGCATTTACGATTCATCGCGTACAAGTCATTCACCTTGTATCCATCAACCACGAAACATTTTTTCCTCTCTCTCTCTCTTTTGGACATTTAACAAAAGTAGTCTATTTTGGAGATCAGCATTTTCTGGCGTTTTATATATATACACATATATTTCCGATATTTCTAACGGAAAAATGTTTCATAGATTTCTTTCTTTATTTTTCCGTAGTTTTAGCTTTGTGTGAAAATTTCTTCGATATCTTTTGGGAACGTTACTTGCTTGTAACGAAATAAGAAATATTTCATTTCGAGCTCTTCCAAGATGTAGCTTTAGGCGTGTAAAGGTGAACGATGTTTTCCTTTAAACGAATTGTATAAATTTATTCATTGTCCCTAGATTCAGTTACGAGTTGCTGCATTGTTTCTTTGTTATCTATTAGGATGTAAAATACGTGTAAGTTTTTCGAATTATTTCGCGTGGTTGGAAACATCGTTCTGTGTGTTAAATTAAAAATTTTGCTCAAATTACTTAAAAATTTCTTAGCACTTGTTTGTAATCGTTTAAAGCATGGTTGCCTGCTCTTCGAGATTCGTTTCTCTTAATAACGTTACGCAATCTTAGTTTTTACAATTTTCCTTATCATTCGATACTTTTCTGAATTACAACTAATCAGAGATAGTCTTGATAATTGATAGAGGAACTACAAGAAGTATATATATATTGCAATAAATAATGTTATACGATATAAATATCATTTTCTGTCCTGTTCAGAAATTAAGAATTATTCTCGTCATCGTATATACGCGTATAGCAAGTGATTTACATTTACTATCTATCTATTTGACTTAACTTATTCGCAGATGTAATAAGATGATAAACAGTTTTGTGTAAGTATGTTGCTTCGAGGTACTATTTGTTTCAAATGATACGCGAGAATACGTAAAAGTATTTGGTAAAAATGCCGCCAGAAAGGTGCTAATATAATTTTATTCGAATGAACTATAATGTTAGCGTTAACTATACACCTAATTTTAGTTCAAACTTTATACCTAAACGTTATACTAGAGGCAGTCCAAATTTTCATTCCGAAACTAGTCATGGTATGTAGCATTTGATTAAACAAACATGGAAGTGAAATTGTGAATGTAGTATCGCTCGTACTTCTTTTCTTATTTTGGCCAACATTAATCTATTCGATGGTAATCCATGGGCGTCCAACCTTTCGATTTGCCTGGGCCATACGAAATATGTAATAAAGTTAATCGTACATAAGTAACAAAACCTCCTTTATTTTTTAATATTTTTTATTGTAATGCAATTGAGTCGTGAAAAATATCGCTAAAACTCGAACAATAATGTTCAAAGTTTACGATATTGTGCTGTTCAGGGCCACATTGCTGCCCGCGGGCCGCAGGTTGGACACGCCTGATGTAATCCATATTTGCGAATTGAACACTCGTTTAAAAAACGAAATATCAAAATTTGCGTAAAAATCGTATGTTGTGTATTTGTAACGAGTCCATACTGAACGTTAATATTTGAAAATTATTTCGTTGGAGAGATATTTAATTTCGTAATAGCTGTTGCAATTGTACCGATGAGATGTATTTATGTACCAAAAAACAAATAAAGGCTGCATTTAAAATCCTAATGGATTCTTAAACCGGTACTAACACTTCAAACTTATTCCTTGGAAAATTGAAATGCTCTGTTTCGTTAAAGGGACACGAATTTATTTGTCTGAAGGTTTTTGATTTTAGGTAGGTAATACGTTTGTTCAAGTGAAACCGTGACATCTAGTTGGTATTAAAATATTGAAATGCTATTAAAATTGACGTAACATGCTTATTATACTGGGTATGCTCACTTCAGTAACATTTTATACGTCGAAATAGAATATAAATTACAGATAAAAAAAAAAAAAAAGAAACAGTTGTTGAATAATGCATGAAATTTTTTAATAGGTGAAATCTGCTTCTATACTTTTCCCTCTTACTCAAGTATAATGTTTAGCAGCAGGGATTCCTGTACAGTACATTAATGCTGATAT